CCCTCAAATGCCCCCCCCCCCCGAACTTGGAAGCCTGGCGCCGCCACTGTTTCTGATACTACTATGCTTCAATTTTATGCTTCAATATTATGCTTCGCACTGTTGTTTGGAATTCTCTATTGCTCGGTGGCGTGTTGGATATCAATGGAAAATTCTACTTGTGATTTAAGAGAGCTTGCCTGTAAGAATGGCAAAATGTGTGGCAGATATGAAAAACTGAAAGTTCTTCAATTTCCCTCGATTTTATATATATTGTAGACCTACCCAACCCCACACATTTACTGAAGTTTCAGCCATGAAGCACAAAATGAAGAAAAGTTAGAGCACATCAAAAATCGAACCAAAAATGACGCGAAATGTCCAAGAAATTTCGCTATATAAAGTAGTCAACATCATGTGCTGTGCTGAGCGCGCATTATAGATTTTTGCTCTGCTGTTACAAGATATGTCTTTAGAATGTATGGAACTTTTTCGTGATATCTTTTCTCCATAAATCGAAACTTATTGACTTGGTTATTTTAGATCAAAGATGGTTGAAATTTCCGGGTTTTCCAAACTAGCCAAAGTACGTATTGTGAATCACCTATTTAAATATGGTCCTACTTTCTTTATAAATGTACATATGCATAATTTGTTAGGGCTAGGATTTAGTCATTCGACGACGATTTCAGATGTTTGGGATTCTTTTGTGTCTTGGCGAAATTTGATCTTAAACATATACAATATTAGCGTAATGGGCAATTCCAGCTATAGACTAAATTTTGATTTGGGCAAGAAAAACAAAATCCACCAGCACAGCTAGAAAGAGCATGTTAAAATTACTAAAATTACAAAGTTTCGTTGCAAAATGTTGTAAAATGAGGAAAATATAGCCCTGCAAAATTTGCAAATTTTGTATTAATTTGTCAGTACGCACGGGAATTTGCACCACTTTCGGCCCAAATGTGGTATACAAAATTAGCAATTTTCGTAGGGCTATTATTTCCCTCATCATGCTCTTTCTAGATGGATTTTGTTCTTCTTGCCTAGATCAAAATTTAGTCTATATGATCTATTATAGCTGGAATGGATCATTTGCATTATAGACTAAATTTTGATCTAGAAAAAAATAACATCACAGCTTGGAAGAGCATCACAAAATTAGTGATATTCCAAAGTTTCATTGCGAAATGTTGTAAGTTGCGGATAATATAGCTTTGCGAAGTTCGCAATTTTCAGTCATTTTTTATTACAAAACGGGAAATTGATTCCCAACACCCGATTTGGACTGTCAATTTCCCGTGCGTAATACAAAATGATTGAAAAACGGCAAACTTCCCATGGTTATATTATCCGCATTTTACAACATTTTGCAACGAAACTTTGGAATATTACTAATTTCGTGATGCTCTTTCAAGCTGTGCAAATTTTTGTCTAGATCAAAATTTGTATAGGTAATCATGCGATGGCGAGTACAGTTAGGGATAAAAGTACGTGTGATGTTTGGAAATTTTGCCAAAATTGGACGAGCCGCCGGGGCAATCTGCCCGAATTTTCTTGATTTTTCTTAGCGTTTGTCCGAATTTCCATGGTTTTCCAAAATTTTGGAGGGCAGTTGCCCCCCCCCCCCCGCCTCCCTGTCTCGTACGCCTATGCCAATAAGGCATTTAAAACATGAACATAATACGAAGCCAAAGTGAAAGTGTGAAAGTGAAAGAAACTTTTAAGAAAGCGTACTAATTCTCGCATTTTACTCGTATTTTACTCATATGTACTCGTATTTACTCGTATGTTACTTGTGTGTACTCGTATGTTTCTCGTGTGTACTTGTATGTTACTCGTGTGTTACTTGTATGTACTCGTATGTTACTCGTATGTTACTCGTATGTACTCGTATGTTACTCGTATGTACTCGTATGTACTTGTGTGTTACTCGTATGGCGTATGTACTCGTGTGGTGATTTAGTCACGATCGATCTATTAGCAATTCGATTTCAATTCCCAGGGGCCTAAAATCTTTTATGCTTAAGAATTGCAAAGTGATTTCTTAGGAAATTCAGAGGTTGCGTTTTTTTATACACCCTGTACAACTGCTGTTTTCAGAGGTTTGGTCCATTTTGTCGATATTAATATACCATTTTATATCGACTAATGTTTACGAAACGTAAGTTAATTATTAAGCAGCTGTTAGCGTGCGTGCCATGAAATGAACGTTTATAATGTTTATCCATATAAGGAGTTTTTATTTTCAGTTTACCAGCCTTTATATTTGAATAGCCGAGTTCATATTTATAGGGACGCGAAACTCGTCTCAGAGGCGTGTAGCCAAGGCTGAGGCCGGGGAAGCTCGCCCCCTCCCCCTGGCAAAATTTCCCCCCCCCCTGGCACAATGTTGGGGGCCTCTGATAAAATGTGTTGTATAAGAAAGGGAATCCTTGGTTATATAGCTTCATGCTGTAAATAATGCAAAAATTCTGTAGAATATATGCTTTGCTGGGCATCGGTGTGAAACCTAAAATCACTTGTTCGCTTATTTGCGGCACACAGCTTGAAACACATACTTTTTCTAACCCTAATATTCAATATGTATTAAATGAGGGTTAGATGAAGTTTAATTAAACCAATCTCTTTTTTTACAAGTGAATTTTTAATGCGGGCTCGGCAGTGGCGCCGTGGCCAGAGCGGAAGGGGAGGAGGTGGGAGACCCGTCGAAAAATTGAGACCCGTCAGAAAATTGTCAATAGAGAGTTTGAGCAAGACAAAGAAGTACGAAGACGAAGGCGTACTTGCGAATTTTGGCCGTCTGCACATTATCTTGCGCATACTGAGTTGGACGTCACTTGTGGTTGCTCAACGTGTCTTCTCATGTGTCCCTGTTTATGCATACTGACCCTAATTCTTGCCCTGACCCAGAAAAAAGCAGCGAGACATGAAACTATATCCCGTCTTTGTCCTTCTGCCTCCGTTCGGAACGAAGTTCACAACGAATTTTGCCAAAATTTTTGAGAAATTTTCGTTGTGAACGAAGGCAGAAGAACGAAGACGAGATATGGATTCGTGTCTCGATGTTTTGTCCTGATCAGGGTAAGGATTTGGGTGAGCATTCATAAACAGCTAGACATAAATCTCTAATTTGTTTTCACGCCTGACTCTAAACTCAGAATGCGTAAGATAATGTGCAAGACATGCAAAAATTGTCAACCACGGTCCACGTCGTCGTCGTCCGACTTCGTTCTCTTGTTCAAACTCTCTAATGTTGTCGGAATCTTCGTGGTGAAGCATCGGAAAGAGTGATACGGGAATCGGGAAAAGTGCTACAAAAGCAATTGTAATGATATTGTCCAGAATTTTTTTACCGAAAATGTCGTCGACGGGGAGATTTAAAATGTTGTGTGGTCCGCAAAATCTTTTCTTGCGCGAACTTTGCGTTTCGAGTCACTGGCGGCTTGGCCCCACCTGGGTTTTTGCCTGCCCCCTCTGACCGCAAATCCTGGCTACGCCTCTGACTCGTCTGTGAAAATCCGTTTGAATATCATTTTGGGACGGATAAATTCGAATTAAAGACAAGTTTCCCGTCTAGATGAGATTTCGTTCTAACTTTCCCGTCCGCTTAGACCGGTAAGTTGGGCGAGAAAGTTCGTACGCGAAACTCGTCTTTTCCCGGATTCATATTAGACGAGTTTCCTGTCTAATACGAGTTTCCCGTCTCTAATATGAATTTGGCTAATGTCTGTTAAAACTGCAAGGTTTACACTATTGATTTCATTAGAATCCCACAGACCACAACGATTATACGTATTGATTGTTTCTTGACGATAGTAGACGCGTACACATGCATGTTGCGCTGGCCTCAAAATTACAAAACGTAACAAAGCTTTACACTAACCTTATTCCGAACACCAACTTTATAACTTAACCATAATCCCTACCATAATCCTGACTCGTTATTAAATAGTATAGTAAATAATTTAATCACTTTAAAACTACTTGAAAAAGACCAGGGCCAAAAGCGCCAGGGCCGCACATGAGGGAGAGAAGAGGGGGGGGGGGATCAAAGGGATCAAAGGG